GTGTGTGTGTGTGTGTGTGTGTGTGTGTGTGTGTGTGTGTGTGTGTGTGTGTGTGTGTGTGTGTGTGTTTGGTCACTAACCCCTTTTGTTAATTTGGTGAATTAGAGAAATGCAGGAACCATGCACATTATTTTGCACTCAGTTTAAGGTGGCTGCTGGACCTTCCCTACCAAGTCTGCGCATTAGGGGTTGGCAAACTGCAGCCTCAGGGTTGAATTCCACTCTTTTTTACAGCTGAGCTAAGAATGGGTTTTGCAAAAGTTTGGAAACACACACACACACACACACCAAAGACCTCCTAACTTCCAAATCCTAAAATATTTCCTGTTTGGTCCTTTACATAAAACATTTGCAGATCCCTGCTATACATAGACCCTAAGTCAAGGAGAACTTGACCTAAAGGTCCTAGGTCAACTGCAGGTGATGAGTCCCCCAGTACTAAAATGGGGTGCATGGGAGTTAGCCTGGGATAGGAAAGACAATTCTGATTAGAGAGTATGGTTGGGTGGCTAAGTCCAGGTTTGGACCCAGACCAAATGGGTTCAAACCATCACTGTGCCCCTTAATAGTTCTGTGACCCTAGACAAGTTACATAGCTTCTGTGTTGATTTCCCTATCTATAAAAATGGGTCACAGTAGTATCTACCTCATGGGTGAAAGGATTAAAGCTTAATATTATTTAAAGCCCTTACAACTGAGCTTGTCATCCAGGGAGTACTTAATGCTCACTCTTAGCCCTTCTAGCTCTCAATCCACCCACATTGTAGTGAGGGGGGTGTATCCAGTTCTGACTTGATTTGTGTTCTCCTTTAGCTGTATGTTGCTAATTCAAATCAGGTAAGAATCAGATAGAACCAGGTAAGAATTTATTTGGGAGAAGAAATTGGGAAGAACATTCTTTTCTTTTTGGCGAGGGTGCCACGCTTCGAGGCTTGTGGGGTCTTAGTTCCCTGACCAGGGCTTGAACCCGGGCCCACGGCAGTGAAAGTGCTGAGTCCTAACCCCTGGACCTCCAGGGAATTCCCCTTCCTTTTTCTTAAATTTGGAGGAAGGGAAGAAAAGGATGAATAAAATGGCATTATTATTATACATTAACATTTCAGATTAAAAGATTTTAAAAAGATTGCTTACACCATAAAATGAAAAGTCCAAGAATGAAAGTTAATAGTCAAAGGAAATATACAAACAAGGGTTTTCTTTGGTGGTGAGTCTTTGGGTGAACTCTGAACATTTTTCCATCCTCCCTTTCTATATTTTCATGGGCATCCATCTCTATCTATTACTTTAGTAATGGGAAAAAATTATCCAAAAAGTCAGCTTTCAAATTCAGATAGCCCTGTAGCCTTTTCTGTTTGTTCTGCTAGTAATCATTTGCTGATTTAAAAAAGTAAAATCTGGGCTTCCCTGGTGGCGCAGTGGTTGAGAGTCTGCCTGCCGATGCAGGGGACACGGGTTCGTGCCCCGGTCCGGGAAGATCCCACATGCCGTGGAGTGGCTGGG